GTTAAGGACCACCTACTAAATGCTACGGCAGCATCCTCCCGTTCTCCCAACACCTCACCCAACAAACTTTACTTATACTATGGGGTCAGATCCTTGTTTGATAGATTTTACGTTCCTTTGCCATAGGTGCCTTATTCATCACAGGTCCTGTGTATCATGCTTTCAACTTGAAATGAAGAGAAGCAGTCACAGTCCAGGTTTTGGTGCGGTTTTAATGTTTTCAGTACTTCTGATGGAAGAAAAAAATTGAAAGCCACTTCTAATTTATTCCCTTTTCTGAAAAAGGCAAAGAAGAGAAGGGAAAATTTAATTTTGAGCATCTTCCTCTTTCCTCCCCCCTAACACTTAAGTCCCACTTTCACGGTTTCCTCACAGAGGTAGCAATTCTGGGCTTTCAGCAAAGATTTTTATATATAGATCTGTAACTTCTTTAAAGCTGGTAATGAGAAACAAATATGAGAAGAAATGGCTCTTGGGCTCAAACTCCTATCCACACACATCAGCAGCCAGTGGGTATGGAACATTCCTCTTCCCTCCCCCCCCCCCCCCCCGATCCCCCAAGCCAGATGAAGTCTCTCTCCGTCAGCACCTGGAACACAGCATTCCCTGGACGGTGGCAGAAGGAGAGCGCCTAGCACTTGAGGCAACCGCCTGTGTCACCCAAGCTAAACTCCACCTCTGGAAAATACACGAGAACATTCCCTTAGAGAAATATTAGATCTGCTTCACCGCTCTTTCTGGCATATCTTATCCTACTTTGTCCTTCTCTTTCCCTAAATACCATGTTCAAAGCCCTTTTCTCTCAGTGGGAAAGCACGCAAGGCAGATGCCATCACAATCACTTTGTGTTTCCCTGCAGAGGGAAGGGAGGACATTCTTGCATGTGAAAAACTCATCTGTTCCTAATGGAACAGAGTAACTTTCAAAGATCACAGGCAGCATGCAGTTCGAGGTAATGGGGCACCTCACAAAACCAGGCAAGTGCATAAGCCTGTGCCAGAGCCTTGCTTTGTCTCTGGTCCGCTTCCACATTTGTGAGGTTAGATGGGTGTGGGGGGGAGGGGGGGCGTGCCCACTCGTATTCTCCGCTGTGGAGCCTGACCCTGGTGTACAAGCACCTGGCTGTCCCCAAGACCTCCATTATCCAGAATCACCACGGTTTCCCACAGTTGGGAGTGTTTTTCCCTTGTTCTTTAAAAACCTTAATGATCAAAAGGCTATTTAGTCTGAAGTAAAGCACTGATGAGACCAACAGAAATGTAATTTGAAAGACACCCATAAATTGAAATAGTTGCCTCCAGGTGACCAACATCTCCGGCCAACCTTCTGAAATGTGGTCTTCTAAAAGGGGCCATATTGTGGTGCTTTTCCTCAACAGCTCCATTAGGAAAAGAAAATGATATTTTTACAGTTTTGGTGATGAAAACCGAGGTGAAAAACTTTAGAACATTTTGGCAGTTTTTCACATTTACTTCACAGCAGAGAAAAAAATCCAAACTAGATCTCTATCAGCAAGAAAGAAGTATTATTTGAAAAATTATGTGTTAGCACCAAGAACATGAAATTTCTATTTTCGAACTAATACTGTTTATTAGGCATGCTTCTCACTGCTCTGTATTATTAACTTATACTTCATTATTTCTTGGGTTACTATGCTTATTGTTTCCCTTTATGGATTTTTAAAGAGCTGATTATATAGTTTTTCAGTTAATTAGGTCACTTTGTAATTCTAGAGTACAAAAAGCATTTTAAAAACAATAATGGAAAACATTTCCTATGTGTGATGACAGTCAAGTAAATCATATAATAATTTGATATGCTAGAAAGAATGCACAGCATTATCAGTAACTTTTTATATTTGGGTAGGTTGCTAAATAGAGAAATAAATTTAACATCCGTCTATTAATGTGCTCTGAGAAATCAGGATTTCAATTATTCCAATAAGAGACCATATTATTTAGCTAAAATTTTCCTAAACACCACATCTTGGGGTATCTGCTTAAAAACCATGGCCCTTACTCCAGAACCTGCCCCCAGCTATAGACCCTCCTTAAAGTGCAAACTCGGTTATCCAAGTATTCCAGAACCCCTGTTCTTGTGACCAAAACACAGTGAACCAGGTGTGGGTCTCTGACACAAAAAAGTCATCACCACAAGCTGGACTGAGTCCATTGTCTCACAAGAATTTAAGTATATTTAAGACATACAGAGAGGGGATACCTATGGCAGAGACACACATACTGAAGAATCAAATAGTATTTTGGGTCATGTAGTTTCTGATGTGTAAGCACAGAAAGCCAACAAACAAGGAAATACAGAAGAATGGTACTGATGTCAATAAGAGCAGACACTGGAAAACCAATCCTCTGAAACAAAGAGCAAGATGGGAAGAGAGGCTTCCCACTTCCAAGGATACGGCGTATAAATTAAATCTACAAGTATTATTTATACCTGCATCTCCACATCCCTCATCCTTGTGTGTTTTGGAACACAGATATTCTTGATTTTCTTGATTTACCTCCCCCTTCCCCCCCCCCCCCCCCCCCCCCCGACAGATCTCTCTTTCATTTAAGCTAGAGTGAATCTCTCTTGCATACATGTGAATAATCCCCGGGTTGAACAGCACAGGCACACACAAACCCCTGCATATTAGAGGAAAAAAAACCTTTGCCTTAATGAAACTTTTTTGAAAAATCAATGGCACGTAAAGAAAAATTCAGGTTAGATCCAAATTGGTACTTGTAAGCTACAACACTGCTGTAAACAGAGTGAAAAATTTGAGTCAATTTTCTTTTGTCTTCTTTTATTGTTTGTAAGAGTTAAACATTGATTTGTAGGTCAAGCAACACAAGGATGGATGCAATAGTATGAATATAAACCAGCCTTATTTTATAAATATTTACATCTTATATATAGCATTTAATGGTTTCTGTAATGTAAATATTCCCACTGTGTCCAATTTCAGGCTATCAGTATGACATCACTAAACATGGAGCTGAAAAGAGATGCTCATCATTAGTTTTCATAAGCCCATGGAAGCCACTAGATGGATTCAAGTAAGGAATACAGCAAGTCAAAGTAACTAAGCGAAACATTCAATATGTCCCCTCAAGAGAAGTTGAATAACTATCCATGGTCAAACAGTAAGTGGCAGAGCCTGGATTCCCATCCTAGTGGCCTGATTCATGTAACTGAGTATAAGTACCAAATATACCCAACTACTTAGTAAGTCTTCACATCAATATCTACTTGGAAGCCCTACACCCTAAACTTGCAAACCAAGACCAAACAAAACAAACAAAATGTATGTACTATTCAATCGTCTATAGACCTTTATTTAGGGTCCTAGATCAAAGTCCAAAAACACTTAAGTCTACTGGTTTCAGGGGAATCAGGAAACTAAACCTAAATGTATGTTAACATATCAATTGTCAGTTAATTTAAAAATATTAAGTGTAATTTATACCCATAGTCCTACTACTCCTATCCAGTTCAGTAATCTCATTTCCTCCTATATAGCTATCACAGAGAATTATTTGGCATTACTGAATATATCACACTCTTTTTAAAAACTATACCCTTTTGGAAACGATTCTCACACTACTTCTGACTAAATTTTGTTCACTTTTTAATTCAGCCAACTGTCAACTCATCCATAAACCCAGCTCAGACTCCTCAGAGTCATTCAATATACGCCTCAGTTTAAACAACCCCTTCCCCGGTACATTATGGCTATCAGTATCAGGCAGAGTCACCTCTTGTTTACACATCTGACTTGCCATTGAAATCTTAAATTTTCGTGTCTAACACGTGCCTCACAGAACAGTTATTATAGAGATGTTGAAGGAATGAATCTTTTGATTAAGAAATATTTGATGCCCTTTCTCCGAGGAAAAAAGGTATTTTTCAAGAATAATGCAGAGATAGGAGAGATCATGTAAATAAAAAACAAGCATAAATGCAGAGATAGGAGAGATCATGTAAATAAACAACAAAAAAATGTTGTTTTCCTATTCTAAGCAAGTAAATTTATAAAACAAGCTGAAAGAACATTTAGTACAAGAATTGTATTTTCAGAATCAATTCCACTGACCACAGAGCTTGCATTTACAACGCTTCTGGGTAAGCCACAGCCACCGCCAACAGGGCTTTTCTAATGGGGGAGAAAAATGTTGTCTAGTGGTCCTGATGTTAAGGAAAGATTAAATTCACTCAATGCCTTAAAATGGCCCTCAACCAAAGACATGGCCATTTAATAGCAGTTGTTCTACAATCATACCAGCTATTTTTCCTAACAGCTTCTTATAAAGACTTCTATGTGTTTGTAGGTACAGGTACAAGAGGAGGGGTGGGCTGTGGAGAATGAGAGGTAAATGGTACTTGTAAGCTTTAACATTGCCGTAAACAGAGTAAAGAACTTGAGCCAAGGAAGTTATTGTGTTATTGTATTACCCTGTTTTACCACAGGAAAAAAAAAAAAAAAAGTGACCTTAAGAGAAACTAAGTAACTTGCTTGATCAGACCCTGAAACTGGGCCCCCCTACAGCCCCACAGTCAGCATCCTCACCTAGAGTAGCACCTGACTGCCTCCTGTTCTTTCTTTCACTGATGCCCTTAAGACAAGTCTAGTCCTACAAAATGCAAGGTGCAGAAGATGGGATGACAGCCATACGGTCACCCTGAAAGGAACTGCTTGTTCTTTCCTAGTTACTCAGATTCATTCTTGAACTTGGGAAAGTCAATTTACTCTGAGTATCAAATGACCATAGTTAAAACAAGAATTGTTACTGTAACATCTTTAGTAATGGGTTTGATTAAAATAAGGGAGCGAAATGTGTAAAAACTTACTGTCTTTTCAGCCCAAAATGGTTGCCAGGAACTAGAAGTCCTTGCAGTATAAAGTGATTAGACTTTTTAATTAGCATCTAATCTCATCAACTGAATATGTAATCAGGGATCAGTGACTGCCAGATACAAATACATTTTTCATTCCGTGTTTGTAGCCAAATGTATATATCAAAACAAACTAAACTGACTCATTTCTGATGTTTTTAATGTATTGAGTGTGGAGCTCCACGAGTTCCTATTTCCTTGATCTGAGCAAAAACAGCCATGTCTCAGAAGTGAGAAACGTGTTCTGTGAAAAAGCAGATATGGAATGTTTTCATTTTTATAAATGACTTGCCGGTACAGTTCTCTATTATATATTAAATGGCTCCTCTGATTTGAAGAACTTTCAAGCTGAGCCTACAAGCCTGCAGTACTGCCCAATATAAAGTTATTTGACAGGATGAAAAACGTCATTCCATCTTCTCTTTAATCTTCATGCTTCCTCCTCTGCCCCCTTTCCATTTACAACACAGAATGGACTTCAGACTATCAGTCTTAGCTCTTCTACAATGCAGCACTTCTTCTAAGAAAATTCTGTGCATTATAAATGGAGAGGAAATGAAAATGTGCACCAACAGCTGATTAAGTGCCTATCGATATATTTAAATCAGCTTAATTTTTCCCACCGAATTTAGAAATATCAAAAATGCCTTAAGTGATGTTCCTAACCTGAATCCCATAATGGAGGCAGGAGAAACACCTTCCTATCAATTCTTCCAAATTCGTAAGGCAAAGCCACCCCCAATTCAAGCTAATAAAAACATTGCAAGTATGTGGGAAGCAAGACTAGAAAACTCAGTCAATCAAGTCTGATTTTTAAAGCTGCAGAAAATATGAAGAACTTAGTGGCCTAATAAAATATCTCCCATCAGGACTGATCTGTTTATGCTCCTAAAAATGTAATTTGTAATGACACAGATAGTTTCTGTACTTCAGTAACAGTATCTATGCTTTCAGCTAGTTTTTTCATGCAATTTTTTTTTATTCCCAAACACTGCTTGGATCAATAGCAGCTCGGTATCACTCATGAGAAGTGTTCCTTCACTTTTCTGGACTCTAAAGCAGATATATAGGAGAAGGTTGCCTTTAACTCTATTAACACACACAGGGATTAAAATAAAATTTTGCACCGCAAATTCAGGCTGTCCATCTGCAGCCATACTGGCACTGTTCACATTCCCCCCCTACACACACACACACACACATACACACACACACACACACACACACAGTTTCTCTACTAAGATTCTGTGTTCCATAATTTGTCCATTTCTTTCAAGTTCCCACATGTATCCTCTTACCATTAGCTCATAACTTCATCTTAAAATGTCTCAACAGTCCATCTCACAGTCATCTGTCCATGTCAAAATAAAAATGTTTCTTATATATTTATCTGGGTTTTTTATTCCTTTTATTTTAGAATTTTTCCTTCTTTGTGGAATTAAACGTCTGAGCCTGCCCTTTGCTCATTTTTCAGAATCTTGCTTCATCAAGCTATTCATCTCATTCTTTGTATTTCTCCCTCACACTTCCTTTTTCTTCTTGACTAGACTCTAAGGCCAATTCCGAAGCCCCAAAACCCTCTCCATCTTGAATTCATTTAAAGTCACTAATCTCTCTCTGGGTTCTTTTCTCACACCCATTCTCATTTTATTACAAAAGTAGTAACCATGTTTACTTAAAAATTGCGAAATAAGGTAAAGAAAATCCAATTATCTCACCACCAGTAATAACCAATATTATTTAAAGGTATTCACAAATACATATTTTAATAAACATTGATCATATACTCCAAATCTATGTTTCACATACAAATATTCATGACAAGCTATATTCCATGTCAAAGGAAATCTATCACCATTTTAAAAATGGTTCTATTTTACTTGAGTGTAGGGAGTATTTAACCAAATCTCTGGTATTGGTTATTTAAGCTAGGTATCCAACTGTCCTCTATTGAGAAAAATCTTCACTGCAGCATTGTTTGTAATGATGTTTACAAAGATGTTTACAATATCTTTGCACAACTGTGATTATCTTAAAAGATTGAGGATAAATCCCATGAAACATTTTAAAGAACTGACTAATACACATGGGTGGACACTACTTGTCTCACCATCAACTTGGATCTTCAATGTAATAGGGGATTTGTGTCCACTGCTCTAATGAATTTACTCTAAGAAATGTGACACTAATTATCAAATACAGTTTTCATCCTAGCATTATTCTTGATGTCCACACATGATCTAATCATTGCTTTCTTGAAAGGGTCCCTTTCAAGAAAAATTTCTGTGGCATTACCGTCTCAACTTTACCTCTGTCATTCTTATTTTTCTGCCCATGTTTTCTTCTTTCTTTCACATAAATTTAAGTCCTACTTTTCTCCTCATATTTTATCACTTTCTCCTCCCTAAATTGAGAGTTTTGCTCATTCAGTTATAGCTGTCACTTTTTCCCCCCAAATCTGTATAATTAACACAGCCTCTCCTAAAATTTCCATGCTTCCTCCCCAATGTATTTACCTTTATATCCCACGGAAAACAAGAAATTAAGAGGTTTAAACTCACACCCTCCTAACTTTCTCTTGTTGCTGGTTTTCTATTACTGTTGAGATCTCAATTTCATAAGTTGGAAACCTGGGCTTGACTTCAAAATTTTCCCACCTCTCTTCCAAAATAAAATCACCAAGCATTACTGGGTTTGCCTGAACATCTTGTCCCTTATCCCCTGCTGGACATAGTAATGTACCAACCTTTTACGCTTCTTTCCCTGCACCTTCAACTACAGGATTGCCAAGGACCTGCTTTCCCCATCAGTAAATTCCAATCTCGAGCTTACTTGGGAGTAACTGAACTCAGCTGATAGTAAGGTTATCCCTTTGGGTCTCTATTCTCTGCCCTCCTCTTCTTTTTCCTGAAGCTGGTGAGAGAGCATGACGGTAGCCCAAGGAGGATTATGGGAAATGAGATCTCAAGTTCCTCTGAACTCTCAGCTCCCAGATCAGGATAAGAAAAAGTATGCTAAGAAAGCTATGTGAACCCCCAAGGAGCAATTATGTTCTTACTTGATTTTCACATTGATTTTGATTTGTCTATTTCAGCTGAAATTAAAAAAAAAAAAAAAAAAGTAAATGGTCCCTCTGTGTGAGAAGAGAATGGCATTGGCAACATAACTCCTGAAAGCAGCTGGCATCAGGAAACACTGTGACGGCAGTGGTAGAAGTGGCTGTTCTGGTCAGGTGGCAAGTGTGCTGGCAAAGCAGCAGCGTGAGTGTGCAGGAGGCTATGAAGATCCTGGCAGTGGCTTTGGCAAAGGCGGAGGTGGTGGCAGAGTGCAGTGTGAGGAAACGCTGCATAATCACAAGGTCTGTAACAGGCCACATGGTCTCACCATGCCGGAATTACAGATTCTTATACTTTTTATTTATTTATTTTTAGAGAGAGAGTAAGCACACGTTGGGAACAGAGGGAGAGGCAGACTCCCTGTTGAGCAGAGACCCCGATGCAGGGCTTGATCCCAAGACCCTGAGATCATGACCTCAGCTGAAGGCAGAGGCTTAACTGAGCCACCCAGGTGCCTCCAGATTCTTATATTTTGAGTATTTCCCAAGACATACTCTCTGAGTAGCCAAGATGGCACAGAAGAACAGCAAACAAGCTGACAAAAGCCATCTTGAGACTCAAGTAGATGAGAATTGGCACAGGACTCCCAGGGGATATTGTGAAACTTCTTCAAAAGGAGGAAGTCCATTAAGACATGGAAATGAAAAGCAACCTTGAACATGAGCTTGACATGACATGTTCTACACAACAGTGCAGACACGGGATTTTATTGTTTGTGAGGCAGGTCTGTGATGGGCCAATGCATATTCCTTCTCCCACTCGACTGACTGGCAGTAAAAAATATTCAAAAGGCTCCACCAGTTTTCTGAAAATAGCTTATTCTCTATAAATCCTTCAATAAATATTCAGGAGATGAGTTCTTTGACAATCCCCCCTAGAGGAGAAGCTAATTAGCTGCTGATACCTAAGCTTAGCATTTAGCTCTCTAGTACCAAAAAGGATTCTTTTAAAGGTGTTTATTTTGAATGTAAAAGATAAACTGGAAAGAAGTATGGATTAAGACCTCAAAATTGTCCTCTCAAAGGGTTCTCTTCTTTTCTATCAAAATACAAAGGAGATAAATAGGAAAAATCAAACTATTTGAGGGGTGAGGGAAGGAGTCTTTGAGGAATCAAGTGTTTCTCGCTGTTTTTTAATGCCGTCAGCATTTCAAGCTGCTAATTTTCCCCCCATAGATTTTATATAAGCTCATCAAAAACCTAGGAGTCTGAAAACTTTAATAAGTTAAAGATTATTTTTCTGAAGGAAGGATTTCATCCCACTCACTCAGCTTTATTTCCCTATTGTGTACTATTTCAACACAAAATGTGATCTGTTTGGGCACGAGACTATGGTTGCAGGTTTGCATTGCTGCTGTACTTAATCCCCAAAATAAACTCAAGAAATTTTGTTAGAACATCCAGATTGTATTGCAGTTGGGGGGGGGGCCATTCATGTACGGCACAATTTGTTTCATAGCCATCCTACATTTAAAATAAGAGATGATTTTGTTCATCAACTGCTACAGGGCCTCTTCCATTCCTCTCTGCCAACAACCACTGAGTCCAAGAAATGCCAGGCTTTCCCTTAATATACACGTGCTTTCCTTTTACTGTTGGATTAAATTGGGGACACAATTAATCTGTTTCCATCTTAGACTTCTCATTGGAGAAGAGTTCTTATTCAAGACCCTGAATTGAACATCACACAGATTAGGGGGAAAAAAAATCCTCTGAAAATTTAATCGATGAGGTTTGTGTTTAAGGAAACTGAGTCACCGGGACCTCTCCAGCAGGCTTGGTGTCAGTGAGAGGGTCCATCTGGCCCAAGCCTGGCCAGGGATTTTTCCTTATACTAAGGACACCCGTTAGTGCCCACTCTAGTGATTCTGTACACTCCATGATATTCAATGGGTATTTTGTACAAGAACTTCAGGTAACAACTCTAATCAATACAACCAGATAAAGGCTCAGGAGGAAAAAAAAAAAAATCAGGACTCTTTGGTTTATAGAAAATAACCAGTTAAATGACTTTCTCTCCCTCTACTAATCACTTAGTGTCATATAGCAATAGCCTTGGCAAGTTCATCTGTCCCCACAGAAATGAACAGAAATTCACAGACACACACACACACACACACACACCCACC